AGCGCGTGTGACATCCGGGTGAAAACGACTGCAGAGTTTAACAGCCCTGGATTGCTCCGTGCCGCTTGCGCTTTCGCCCAACTTTCTCAAACTCTCTCCGCCGTCGCCATGCGGTGTCGCTCGGGTCCCGAAGGGTTGCCAACCGCTGTTTTCCCTCAAATTTACCGCATTGTTACGTCGTATTTATGCTAAAAGTTCCTCAAATCCTAATAGATAATATCATCGATGGTTTTATCTAAGGTGAATATGGACGTATTTCTGTCAAACGGAACTAAGCGCCAAATTGAGTTCCTTTTAAGGAATTTAGAATCCCTGATAGCGCGTTCTGTCAAACGGAACTAAGCGCCATGGAAAAGCATTGCGAGTATAGGAACGAATGATATATAGGAACGAATGAGCCCGACGCCCGATTCCGCCGCCAATCCAAGCCCCCCTCTACCTTCCTCCTCCGATGGCGCTTAGTTCCGTTTGATAGAAATACGTCCATATGATGGTATGACTATTTTTCTCGTGCAAACTGGTAAAAGCTTAAGGTGATTCGACAGCTGCCATTTTTTGTGTCGGAGCAATGTGCGACATATCGCATCAATTTGCTCCATAATATCAGCCACGTGTCATTTTTGTCGAATTTTGAGATTACACTTCTGTTGTCATGAGACTGAAGAATTCATGTACCAAATTTGACAAAGAAATTTAACGTATCAAAGGCAGGGTTTTATCAGAGGAAAAATATCGCATTCGAGTAAAGTTTCGACAGCAGTATCGAATGCGATATGTTTCCTCTAAAAAAAAAAACCCGCCTTTATTACGTTGAAATTTCTGTGTCAAATTTGGTACATGAATTCTTTAGTTCCATGACCATTAACAGAAGTGCGATGAGCGCCGGACAACTTCCTGAAGTTATTTTGGACATTTTCGGACTTCTTTAGCACCTAAGAATCGAAAAAAATTGGTTTGGTTCGAAGGACAAACCCAAACCCGAAATTGGTTGTGCGGTGTTATTGATCGCTGGTTTCACTAACCGTTCAGATGTTTCTCTATTTTACTCAGTTAAAATAAACCTTTCCTTTTGAATTAATAGACAAATTAAATGTGAACGTTGGCAACACTGTATGAGAACCTCGGTCAATTCCAGTCCACCCTCGGAAAGCAATAGCGGCGTTTAATTTTTCATTTAACACCATGCGCCACCATTTGGCACTCAGGAACAGGCTTAAAACATTGCGCCAGAGTCAATTTGCCACTGCTTGTTGGGGCTCTGTAGCCTGGAATTTGTGAATGAGGAGTTTTTTTTGGGCCCCTTTCTTATAGGTCTGTACTGAAAAAGAAGACTCGGAGAAAGTTTTGTAAGCCGGGGGTAGGAGTTCTTTTGCAACTTTCTCTCGAAAGTTAATCATAAACTTTTCCACAAGTTTCCAGTGGTTTTTAAAGGATCGGAACACCGAGATAGGATGGACATTTCCTCTGCATTATCTGCGTTTTTCGGCAGGCTCAGCAAGGACTTTCACGAGACCAGCGAAGACAAATTAAATTGAGCAAGACATTTTGAAGGCCCCTGAGAAATTTTTCGGCGGTTCTTCATATGTAGATTCCAAATAAGTTTTTGGTACGCTAACCAAACCATTAAAACTGGAGGTCATTTACATCTAATGAAATTGGTGGCAGCTAATTTTGAAATATCGCTTCACACAGGATGAAATATGGAAACCCACTTGTATTGTATGTACATTCTACATTTTCCCAATCGTAACTCTCCATTTGGCTGCAACAACCCCCCCGGAGAACCTTTTTCTGAAATAATTGCGTGTAATAATACGATACATTTCCTATTAAAGTCATTCTGAATTGGCGCCCGCACATGTTAGAGAATATTGTTTACATGACCAATTCTTAGTGGTATCAAAATACACGGCAACAAAAGCAATAAAGCATAGCCTATACTTCGAAAATGGTAGTTGAGTTAAAAGCTACTCTTATAGTCTTGACTCGTTTATTTTCAAAATGAGAGTTGTTCCTCTTTGAAAACCGCGGTCAAAATATACATTTTCTCGTCGTATTTCTTGTTGATGATCTAGAAAAAGTTTTCAATTTTTGTGATCAGAAACCGTGCACAGTTATTTTGTATTATCTACTTTTAGATCAAATAACTTATTACTATCAATCAGTTGCGAAGCGTGAATGGTCAATTATCGATACTCTCCCATTTGAAATTGTGGTAAAGAATCGATTATTAAAGTGTTTATTCCGCACTCCCTATTAATCGATCCTTTCCCATAGGTTTAAGTGGTAGCAGATCAATCGATGTATTGCAAAGCACGCCAGGCCACTGGTTAATATTAGTGAAAAGGGAACAACGAGTTCTTACCAATGAGATGATAAAGGCAAGTGGTGTTGGGAGACAAAGAATGGCGAGGACTCTCGAGGACCCCTTTTCCAGACCCACGAATCCAAAACTCACACCGTTTATTTCTCGTGTATTTCGAAGATTCTTGCTCCACAAAATGAACCTGTAGATGAAACAAACAAACAAAAAAAAACCACCATTATTAGAAATTTTCAATTGGAAAAAAACCCGATTACCTAGTGTTGCCACAAACAAAGAAAAAATCGGAAAATATAATGTATCCCCGGTTGCTTTGTAAAATAATCCGTGTCACACTATTTATAGTGAACGCGTGTCAAACTGTCTACCTGTAAGCTCAAACAACCGAGTGTGCTTAGCACTCGTATGGTTTTAATACCCGCGTATTGTATCAGCTTAAAATCTTGAACAGCGCTCGTAGGTGTGTCAGACCCTTTCATATTTCATCATGAGAACAAACTGTTGCAAAACTTTGGTTATGGCAACGTTCGTACTTCAATTTTTTCATGCGCAGGCCTATGAATGTGTAAAGTAAGCATGAACTATATGCGACGAACTTATTTCTCTCTGATCCAAATACCGAAAGCGCTGTAGGACTATGATCCAGAATATTACCTGAGTAACCGATTTTCAAGTTGAAAATCAAACTTGTTTCGTCAAATATTTTGCTTCAAGATCCCTCCAACCTTATTGAATGACATGAATGTTGATACTAAGGAACAATTGCAGCAAAAAATAAGCGCAGATCTCATCTCAACTTGTATAATAGATAGAATAACTTATAATACATTTCCTTGCTTCGATTTTATTTAGTGAGGCTTTCCCGTTACTGTGTCCTCAACTACTGCATTCCTTCACTAATAGGATTCATCAAATTTTGACTGAACGAAACATTGACCTCAACCATGGAAAATACTTGAACGGAACTGCTAATATTATTAGTACATAGTTATTCTCGACTTAAATTATATTTTCACGGACCCGTGGAGTTATACTTTAGTTTCTGAGGCACAAGGGTTATTGAACCAAGTTCAACGTGGAATCTTGATATCCACTGAAGAGACTAACAGCACGCAGCGTTGTCAGATCGCCTGTCAGTCCTCATATTTTACTATATTTATAATTATTTGTAGAGGAAAGAGAGGAATCGTGATTCTTGATTAGTATTACAGCTGAAATTCTTGATAGAAGTATACGTTGAAAATACTCTTTCTTTTCCAGGTAGTTAAGTCTTAATATTAATTTTTTTCAAATTTATTCATCTCAAAACCAAAATATGATTTTATTTGTGTAAAAAATTACGCTTTTAATGTGTCAGTTTTTTTGTTACTATGTTGCAAAAGACTATTTTTCTTACTATGTAAGTCTATACTCAGTTGGCTGTATCCTCATTGCACAACAGAGTATTGATTATCATATGGATTACATTTTGCAAAAAGGAACCACTATCTCTGGATCTTTCATAAAAGCACATATCTGCAAAGGGAAACCAACAGCATGTATGTTGTTTCTAAAATGGACCAGAAATAATGGCTCCTTATTGCCAAATGTAATCCATATCATGTCATGTCATGTGTCTCATATTATGTATTCCCGTGTTCTGCAGTGGCGGGGCGTGAATGATCGATTATCGATGCTTCCCTATTTGAAGCTATGATAAAGAATCGATTATTAAGGTTTTTGTTGCGGACACCCTGCCTATAGATCCTTTCCCATGGGTTTAAATGGCAGATTAATCGATCCGTAGCAAAGAGCACCTCGCAACTGACAAATTCAAGTCTTGAAACGAGCGAGCTTGCAGGAAGAGAAAAATTTAATTGTCCGGAACAAATTTTACTGCACAACCGCACGGAAAGATGAAGGATTTTATGGAGGGACAATGGTGGAACTATGCTTGTATCGTTAAAAGATATTGCGGGGACAGAGTGGCTCTCAGTTCCTCCAACAGCAAAAATTATCAACTTCTTTAATTTCAATATTTTCTGCAAAGTTATATGAGCCTTAGGAGAAACAGCTCATTTTTTTTATACGTTTTCATAAGTTGACAAAACATTTATAAAAGATTTTAAAAAATCACAAAGCATAACTTCAGATCTGACAACATTGTGTAAGTGTTCTTACATCGGATGGCGCTGGAGATATTTGATCGACGAGTACTGTCTCAAGCTTACTCGTAGCCTGAACTCGCGCGACACTCAAGCTCCATCCGTGCCACCGACTTTGCGACGTTGTCAAATCACGAAAAAATCATAATAAAATGGAAACGAATGACGAGACACAGATTTGACGAAAATTGTGCACTGAGTACAAGTATAGGTTAAGAGAGATTAAAGAATTGGTTGATTGCGCTGGTCTCAGAATCATGTTATGATGATTGATTCTTGTAGATCACCTAAAAATAATAAGATCTGTCCAAAAAGTAACTCTCTGCGTCAAAAATTAATCGAAATAATCGCGGTTTGAAAATTCGGTTTATGACTTCATCCACCGCGGTAGTGACACTTTTGGTTTCTGTCGCATTGGTTTCATCAATCTCGGAGACACACATTAGCTCTGGTTACTCAACATGAAACGCGGATGAAAGCGAGGTGGAAGAAACCAAGGGTGTCACTTCCGCGGTGGATGACGTCATGATCCGAATTTTTCAGAGCGCGATATCTCGGCGAGTATTGAACGTTGAAAGTTGCTGTTTGAAAAGATCTTATTATTTTTAGCCAATCTTCAAGGATCAAGTTTCAAAACACGATTCTGCGACCAGCGCAACCGACCCATTTTCCGCGAGTAGTTCCGGCCAATGGACTATAGTAAAGGTGTGATTTTAAGCATTCTCATTCGTGATTCCTCATAAAATTTCAAGAAGAACACGATTCACTCCGCAAAAATCACTGAAATTAACTCTGGACTAACAATAGGTTTTTAAACAATTTTCAATGCCAAAATTCATACCTCCCGCTCATGAGAAAACAAAGTTCGGGCTACAAAATATTCATCTGCTTATATCATATAAGTCTATTGGTTGTTCCTCATATGCGCAACAGAATGTTGATTATCATATCATGTCATGTGGATTGCATTTTTTAATAAGGCGCCACTATCTCTGCACGGAGAAAAAAACTTTGTGCATGGGACACCAGGTTGAGGTCATATGGATCTCTGAAGTTTTCGGATCTCGCATCCAAAAACTTGAGGTCCAACTGCCGAGATTCGGGTCAGACATCTGAAGTATTTAGGTATACCGGATACTTCAGATGTGTGACCCGAACCCTTCGGCAAGTATTATTCTCCGTGTGGCTCTTTCATAAAAGCACCTTTCTACATTGGGAGACTAATGGCATATATGATGTTTCTGTCGCAGGCTAATAGTAAAATCAGGCATTTCGTCAAATGCCTAGGCAAATAGTAAAATATTCTGACTTAGATTGAAATTCTGATTCTTTTCCTAATTTCAGACAAAATAATCCATTGCTCCTGCATGAAAAAATTCTCAGTAAATATTTGCTACACAATAGTATTTTAAACAACTTTCAGCTCCTGAAGAGACACTGATCTTGAAATTTTCAGCATGTCACAAAATACAGAATTTTTGGAATTTCAACATTTAAGAATATCAGAAGCAATCGGAGAGGAAGAGACAAGAGGAGTTCGTAGATTTGATGGGTTATTTTTCCAAAAGTAGTGAAAAATACTGAGCTCTTCGCCAAAAATTCAGAAAATTTTGTAGACCGTCAAAGTTTGCCTATCTGCCTAGGCATTTGACAAAATGCCTGATTTCACTATTTGCCTGCGACATTTCTAAAATGTGCCCAAAAAAGTGATTCTCTATTGCAAAATGTAATCCATGTCATGTGTATCATACCATATACTCCCGCGTGCTCCGAGTTTGCTACGGGGCGGAAGTTGGCATCCTCTTGAGAGTATCTGAGAGTTGAAGGGTGATGATCTTACCTGAACTTGTAGTTGGAAGCCGTGGAGGGGCTGCTGGGGCGGGGGGTAGAGGAGGGTGCCGTAGGGGGAGGTGGAGAACTCGACGAGGAGTTCTGGTCCGCTGGAGACGGCCTCCGGGACGACGGATCCCTCGCCGCAGAACTTGAGGAGCACCGGGTCCCGCGTCGTGTACCCGTCGTAGACCGTCACGTAGTCCTGCACGTCGTCACACTCGGACCACACCTGCCCATAGTCACATAATAATTTAGCATTGGGTCCAATAAAATTCAAGACGATACTCTAATGGAGATGTTGCATGTGTGAGGAATTTCCGATTTGACTACTGATTCTTATGTGAAAGTTCGCGCGAAACACGATGGTGCCACTGGTTTTCTCTGAAATCAACTCCCAAGCTCAAAAAAAGCTCTCAAGTTGAGGCCAAAATGGAGGGGATATTCCACGCTATCCTGAGAGTCCACGTCTACATCAAGACAAACTCTCTATGCAAAGATAGATAGCAAATACATTGACAGGGCTGCCACTTCATTTGGGGACTCAAAAACTGAAAATACGGCAACCCTGCTAATGTATTTGCTCCCTATCTTTGCATGGAGAGTTTGTCTTGATATAGACGTCGGCTCTCAGGATAGCGTGGGATATCCCCTCCATTTTAGCCTCAACTTGAGAGCTTTTCTTGAGCTTGGGGGTTCATTTCAGAGAAAACCAGTGGCACCATCGTGTTTCTCGCGAACTTTTACATAAAAATCAACAGTCAAATCGCAAATTCCTCACACATGCAACATCTCCATTGAGGGGCTTGGAGGACAAGGCGCATAAGTGCAGTTTTTGCAATTTTGAGAAACACGTGCTTGAAGTTTCGAAATTACATGGATCCCTATGACGGAAAGAACGTTTAAACTGACGTGTTGATACTTTTAAGCAAATGAGCAAATTTGAAACAAGGATATGTGTGCAGGAATATCGCATTTACCTTGAAGATCCGTCATTCCATCAATCTGGTGCATCGAAGTAGATGTGGCACAATAGTTCCGATATCTAAACTTGACAGATTTCAAAACGCCTTCAATTGTGGCGTGATACCTCCCGCGTTCCGGAGAGTACGTATAGTTGTATCATTGCGCCTTACCAACGCGACGGGAGATTAACATTGAAGAAGCCTCCACGATGGCCTTGTCGGTAATTCTCGGTCATTTTTGCAGTCGGGGCCGCATAGTTAAAAAGTGCTTAAGGTAGAATAGTATTTCGCAAATTTGTAATTTTCATTGGAGGAAATTACCTGGATCTTTATGGTGGAAAGAAAATTCTCACTGACTTTTTGATGTTTAAAAATTGGAATTTGGGGGTGAATTTTTCAAGGAATATGCATCAATACTAGTTTTACTTTAAATCATAAATATCTCGATTTATTCTAAAAACTCTACTTAAGCGCCTTGTGCTCCAAGCTCCTCAATTTGACCGCGTTAAGCAGAAAGGAACCAGACCACATCAGTTACTGACAAAAATTAGGCAGTTTAATTTTTTACATGAAAACGGTTATGCGGATATTTGCCGGAAATTAAATTGCCTAGTTATTGTCCAGTTGTTGGCAATGGCTGTATCGCGGTTACTGAACGCGGTTGCATTCATTTTAAATATCAAAATAGTATGGGTTAGAGTACTTACATAGTGCCTGAAAAGGCAGCCAACCTTCTAATACAAAAAATGTCAATGCCAATCTTTAGGTTCCAGTATCAAACCAATGTGGCCAAGCGTATTCATAAATGAGGGTTCTTCCGCAGAAATGAGTGAATTTACGCAAAATCTATGTTAAGGTGATTCGATGAACGCCATATTTTGTGTCAGAGAGGCATGCGATATATCGCATCCATTGGTTCCATTTTTTCAGCTACTTGTCATTTTTCTTCAATTTTGAGATCGCAATCCTGTTGTCAGGAGACTAAAGCACTCACTTACCAATTTTAACAAAGAAATTCAACTTATCAAAGGCGTGGCTTTTTAGAGAGAAAATATCGCATTCGAGTGCAGTATCGATATCAGTATCGAATGCGATGTTTTCTCTCTAAAAAAAAACCACGTCTTTAGTACGTTGAATTTCTTTGTTAAAAGTGGTAAGTGAGTGCTTTAGTCTCCTGGCAACAGAATTGCGATCTCAAAATTCGAGAAAAATGACGAGTAGCTGAAAAAACGGAACCAATTGATGCGATATATCGCATGTCGTTCTGACACAAAATATGGCGTCCATCGAATCATCTTAAATACGTGCTTTAAAAAAGACAGGACACAAAAGGAACGTCTGAAGCATAAAATTGACGTAATTTGTGTTTTTGCTATTCGGTTATTGATTATTTCATTTTTTTGCTCTTGATTTCCAATCTTTACAGAGACACCATGTAACAGAATGCTTTGCCTCCTTTTGCCAGCATTCATTATATATAGTAACATAAACGCTCTGTACCTCAGAAAACGAGTTATCCTTTTTTTTGGGCAGAAAAATTGAGCAAGGCGCTTAAACATTCCCCGCGACTTCTCGCAGCTTTCACGACATCTCCCAAAATTTTGTGCACAATTGTTTTGATTAACCGAAACCTATTCACTCGGTATTAACATGAAGATACTCGGATTAGAAATACCAGAACGAGTCATTCACCGAAAACGCAATTTACGTAGGGTTGCTTTTAACACCAGAGGAGCATCATGAATATTTAATTCGCGCACGGTTGGTTAATTAAGCGCCAAAGCTGTGTTTCCCTCTCAAATCCGATCGCTCACATTCCAATGCTCTCGTAAATCTTCTCAGCGGTTGTCGCTCTCTACCAAACTATCTACGACACACGAAAACACTACCCAATTCACGAAGAACCACTTAACTGCAATAGAAACCGCACGTGGGTGTCCGGGTTTCGTTCTACAATACGTGAGAGGCACAAAAGGATTCCACTCCTCTCTTACGTTCGAAGGGACCGAGATGGAATAATCCAACTCGTCGCCAAAAAGCTGACACAATCAAGGGCTCCGAACTCAAACAACTCGTCCGTTAATAATTAGTTATTGCAGAACTGCAGTTGTGCTTTTCACCGCGCAGTGTTGCCGTTCCGTCGAGACTCCGCCGCTAAACTGCGGTGTTAAGGAAAAACGCCGTATGAACCTTCAGGCGTTGCCAAATTTCCTTTGATAAGACACAAATTTCCTTGTAAACATAGGAATATTTTCCTTCCAATTGTTCGGATAATGTTGTTTGCAATTTCACCTAAATTTCCTGAAAATTTCGAGGAAAAATATTCATAACTTTTCTCAAAAATGAACATTTTATCGAAGGAAATGAAGCAACTGTCGAATGTTCATACGGCGTTTTTCCGTATCACGGCAGAATATCGAACGGTTTGCGAGGAGCGACATCGATGCTGGCAGGTGCGTAAGATGAGAAAAACGCGACTTCCTGGAAATGAGCGCCTCGGGGTCCCCCTCTCCCGTTCCCTGCCGACGTCATCGCGGGTCTTTATTGCGAAACATTCCAGGATCTAGCTCAAACAAACATCGAGAATCCAATTTCGGTTCAAAGGTGCGTGGCTCAAAGCAAATTAAAGCGTTTTTTCCTCTTCGTGTACACTGCGCCGCGCCATGGGGCTTACGTTATGAAAATCATATCGGCTCCGAGACGAAAATACATCTCCGGTGAAAGAGAAACGGGATGGTCGGTTCGCCGTCTGGTTCGATTCCGTTCCTGATGATAACGATCGGACAAGCTTGCTCTTTGTGGGGTCTCCGCGCGATCGCCTTTATTGAGTGCTGCATGATCGGAAGGCAATGTCCTAGTCAAGTAACTTTTTGAATTTTAAAAGCGCCTTCATTTAAGAATAATACTACAGCACATTACCAAGACGTAAAAATAGTTGTATCATCACGTATTCTTCAAATTGAGGCTTGGAATGCCTAGTTGGAATATTATGATTTTTAAAAACCTGGAACATTATTTTCTAAAAGTTTCACAATTGCAGGGTTTGGAGGACATGGCACGTAAATGTAGTTTTTTGAAAAATTTAAGTATTAATTATTTTAATTAAAACTACTCTTCATGTATATTCTTTGAAAAATTCGCTCTCTAATTCCAAATTTTAAACATCGAAGAATCAGTTTGCATTGTCTTTTTACCACAAAGATCTTTGAGATTTTCTCCAATGAAAATTACAAATTTGCTAAATACTATTCTAACTTGAGCACTTTTTAACCATGCTGCCCCGACTGCAAAAATTACCGAGAAATACCGCGAAGGCCATCGTGGAGGATTCTTCAATGTTAATCTCAAGTCGTGTTGGTAAGGCGCAATGATACAACTATTCGTACTCTCCGGAACGCGGGAGGTATCACGTCACAATTGAAGGCGTTTTTAAAATCTGCCAATTTAGATATCGGAACTGTCGTGCCGCATCTAGTTCGATGCACAAGATCGATGGAATAATGGATCTTAAAAGTTAATGCAACATTCAAATTGTTTGCTTTAAAGCATGAAAAAGTCAGTTTAAAGTTTCTTTCAGTCATAGGGATCCATGTAATTACAAAACTTCAAACGCACGTGTTTCTCAAAATAGCAAAAACTGCACTTCAGGACTTACTTACAACTGAACTTCAGGACTTCAGGAGTGAAAAAGGAATAAACATAAAACAAGAACAAGAAATAAAGAAAAAAATAAGGCCTGCGTAGAGGCTTTATTAATGTTAATCTCTCGTCGCCTTCGTAAGGCGCAATGATACAACTATTCGTACTCTCCGGAATGCGGGAGGTATCACGCCACATTTGAAGGCGTTTTGAAATCTGCCAAGTTTAGATATCGAGACTGTCGTCCCGCATCTTGTTCAAAGCGCACAAGATCGATGGAATTACAGATCTTAAGAGTGAATGCAACATTTCTGCACACATACCCTTGTGTAACATTGTTTCTATTATAACTTTTGTTAGCCCCCAACATCCGATTCTACCCTCTTTAACCATCCAATTAAACATTTCTTGAAGAACCACTAAACAAGGTAGGAAATTAAGCATTCTGATACATGTTTTTTAATCACAATTTCACGTCAATTATGATTCGCACATCGAAAATGACCGAAATTAACTCCTAACCGAGATATTTAATGTATCTTAACGCGTTAATTCAATCCTCCCACTTATGAAAACGCAATCGTCTACAAGAGTCGAGTTGCATTCCAAACTGTACCGTGGCAGTCTCTGCAATACGAAAGTATGGCAACCTCAATCTTGACGCTTTGGCTCAGCTGTGGCAAATTGTTTACATTTTGAACAATGAAGGGTGGGAAAAGAACAATGCTCGATTGAGAAGCCTGCCAAAACCGTTGTAAGGTGCGATTTGACCTACGTAGAGTATTGGCGTTTCTTGTGACCGGGCAATTCAAATTTCCTATAACCAATGTAAATAAAAACGTTAATATCTTAGTTTGGAGTATATTTCAGTAATTTTCAATGTAAGAATCGTGTTTTACGAGAAATTTTGGTTAAGAGACATGTATCAGAATACCTGAATCCGTACTTTGTCTACTGCTCCATTACAACGTGAGCCAAATGGGGTCTTCTGAAAAAAGGAGCTGCGGGTTGATTGTTGAAATTTGAAGTAAAAGCTATAGACGAAGAGGACATAATGAGTATAGAACGATCCTATTGGTCAATTTAGGCGGTTCTTGAAGACTGAGGGGGTAAATGATGGATTGCCTAAAGGACATGCTAAGGAAAAACGCCGTATGAGCCTTTACACATTGCCATTTTTCCTTAAATAAAAAACGAATCCAAAGGGATAATTTGAATATTTTTCTGCCAAGTTTTCGGACGATTTTGTTTGCAAATTCAATCTAAAATATCTGACATTGTCAGGGAAAAATACGCATAACTTTCCTCACAAATACATGTTGTATCCGGGGTAATTTGGCACCTCTCAAATGTTCATACAACGCTTTTCCTCAACGGAATGAGTCTCATATGGTTGCCGTCAGTCGATTGCCCACTTCCTTCGTCCACGGCAACCTCCTGCTTCCACCAATAGGATGCCTTTATATCCCTCTTATCTTCTTTGTCCATAGCTTGGTCTATGAATTCCAAGAGTCAGCCCGCTGTTTAAGCATCGACACTTTACCTTGAGCTTCACTGGGGGAAAAAACACATTGGATCTAGAGTCAAGACTCTTGAAAACAACGACAAGAAAAAACACTCTTGATTCAATCAGATTTTTGCTTAAATCAAAAGGAAACCCGCTCCAATTAAGAGGCTTGGTTCTTGATTGAAGCAAAAATCCGATTGAATCAAGAGTATTTTTTCTTGTCGATATTTTTAAGAGGCAGTTTGGTTAGGTTTTTTGACATTGTGTATTTTTTCCGAGGATCGGGGAGTCAGCCCGATGCCCCAACCCCCAACCTGGAGGGCCAGAGTTTGATTTCGGAGTTGCCTCTCCTAGACAGGTTGCTTTCACCACAGCTAAGAGCCCTGTCTACCCACCCCCTTTGAGGCAGGGGCTACCAGCTGGGGTCCGCAGGATTGCTAAACCTGTGACAGTACAGTCCCCCAACCGGTAAAAACGGTTGGTGGTTTGAAAGAGAGCAGTGGAAGTTAGGAGTCGTAGAGCGCGAGGGAGTGCTGTGAAGCGACTTATATGTATGATGTTTTTAAGAGTCTGGACTCTAGATCCAATGTGTTTTTTCCAGTGTTGAGGATGTAATCTGACCTTGAGTTTTTTGTGGTTGTTGGTGTTGCGGGCGTAGAGGTCGGACTGGGAGCGGATGGAGACGAGCTGGCCGCGGGGTTGTCGGACGACGATGAGGGCGTGCTTCCCGGGCGGGACGTCGTGCTGGCGGACGGCGTAGTAGCAGGTGAGGTTCCTCGGGTAGAGGCCCGGCCAGTTGGGCGACTGCAGCCGGCAGTTCTTCGTGTTGCAGTCGTTGAAGATCCGCGAGCAGTAGGTCCCCGAGATGAGGTCGCCCAGGTAGTACGGCTCCGGAGGGGAAGGCTCCACTAGCAGCTCCGTGTCCGTCGAGTCGTTTTGGGATTGGAGCACTTCGTCTGCAACAAAGGAATTAGTTAGTTATTATAATTTTAAGACATTCAGCGTCTCAGGCTATTAACGTCTTTACAGATAATTTTGAAAATGGGAGTATAAACGAAAATTTAGATTTTTAAATTAAGAGAGGTGAAGAGTTTTAGAATTTTGGTGGTAATATTGAGCTCATCGCATGTAAGAGGGTTTGTATTTCTGTTGATTGTAGGGGAGTAGATCTGTGATTGGATAAGGATACGCTCGCTCAGAAACTGAACCGTACACGCTCATATAGAAATGTAACACCGTGAAAATAGAGATTTTGCAGATGTCTGCAATTTGAAGGATTTCGTGTTTAAGTGGAAACAACGGAGTGAACTGAACACGAGGATACCCTTAATTCATGAATTGAACAATTATTGGAGAAGACATGAAAAAATGAGCTAATTTGCTAAAAAATACATGTGTTTAAATGGGAAATGCTGCCAGATGGCGTCACTAGGCGGTGCATTTTCTCAATTTTAAATCTATTTTTAACCTATTTTCCACATCAGAAAAAAATTATAAAAAATACTGTGAAATCAACTCCCCAAGCACTTTCAGATGAAGCAAGAAAGAATTTGCATGCAAATTCTCCATTTGATAAATGTCGTGTTTCAGTCGAAATTACCGAGCGAACTGAAACAAGGATACCCTTAGTTCATACATTGACTGATTATTAGAGGAGATATGATAAAATAACTGAATTTGCTGAAATGCATGCATTTAAATGGGAAATACCATCCGATAACGTCACTAGGCGGTGTATGTTTTCAATCATAATTTTTTAATGCTATTTCCCATATCAGAAAAATTGTAAAAAATACTGCGAAATCAGCTCTTCAAAGTCTCTCAGATAAAGCAATGCGAAAATGGCGTGCAAATTCTCCATTCCGGAAAATTTGGTGTGTGAAATTTAATGAAATTTGAAAAATTTATGGGGAATTGTCTGGGCCCCGGAGCTAAATTCGCGCTTCATTACGTACTTCATTCGTAACTTTATTATGTAACGCATTTTTTTGGCATTTTTGCCCCCTCCCCTCCCCCAATCCCTTGTAACTCGTTTGAGACGTCGTAGGCTCCCTCAACCCCTCTCCCCCAAGAGCGTTACGTAATTTAGGAACGGTCCCTCATACTGCCATACTAAGGAAGATCGCCGTATGAACCTTTAGGCGTTGCCATATTTCCGTAGATGAAACGCAAATTTCTTGGTAAATTTATGAACAGTTTCCTCCCAATTTTTCAGATAATTTAGTCCTTTATTTTTCCCAAAGATTTTGAAAATCTAAAGGAAAATTATTCCTACCTTTCCTAAAAATGAATATTTATCGAAGGAAATTTGGCAACTCTCGAATGTTCATACGGCGTTCTTCCTTAGCACGTCAGTATAGTATAGCGCCCGCCGACCACCAATCTTAGGAAAACGCGGCAGGCAGCGTTGTATCAGCGCTCTCCTGGAAGGTAATATCAGTTGCTTTACACCTTCACGAAGAAGCAATGGGCAGGCCGTCGAGCGAAAGATTCAAAACCCACCAGTGGATGTTCGTCTTGCCGGGGCCCGGGGGGAGGGGAACGAGGGGGGGANCGGGTGTGCAGAAAACCCTAATTCGATTTGGATCGCGGCCGCCAACGTGACTCGCCCCGCAACGACCCCGGAGGGACCGGCTCCCTTGTCACTCCCGGAAACCCACTCTCTATCACCTTGCCGATTCTATTTCCGGTTCCGGCACACGACACGCTGCACAGTGCGGCATCCTCATGGACGATGCGGACAAAAGTCGGTATAAGACATCCAACTTTAAATAATGAAGATACTAGCACCGACATATCACTAAGCGCGCAATGGCGCCTACAAACCTAACAGGAATACTTCACGCATTGCGCAATGCGTGAAGTATCCTGTTAGGTTTGTAGGCGCCGATGCGCGTCTTGAGCTAACCGGCCTCTTTCCGCACGATGCGGCACCCTCGTGGACAATGCGGACAAAAGTCCGTAAAAGACACTTGACTTTAAATAATGAAGATAGCAGCACCGACGTAGAGGAACCCTTTGGCACTATATTAACCCACTAGAGGAATAAGAAAATTTCATATCTCAGGATTGTTTGCGTGTTTTTCGAGAAAAGTTCATTTGAGTAGGCAACCTCGAATCAGCCCTATGTTAACAATGTAAAAGCAACGTGAAACACCCAAACTTTAACTTCCAATATCTCTAATAGTTGCGAAAAGTCGTAAGATCTTTTCGGTGAAACTGAAGTTAGATATCTGAGGATTAAGAAAATGTCAACTACCCAGAGTATTCTGCGCCAGAACCATCATTTTGAGTCAGAATTGTCTTTAACATGACAAACTCCCAAAAAATATACAGATGTCGGGTCGATTACTTTTTGATTTTCGTTCACAGAGGGCCGCACTGTGCGCCGCCCCGAATCCCGGAGAAAGGGAAGACGCTCGGGAAAGCGAATGGTGTTCGGATGAGAGTCGCATGTGAGAAAAGGAGGCAAAGGGGCACTTGTTATTCTCCGATGTTGCTCACGAACTCGATAAATTTGAATTTCCTGTATTTGATGTGGTCGTGACGAAATAGATGTTGTGTAGCGGCATCCGCGGCGCACTGAATCTGAGGCAAATTGCAACAATGTTGTTTAGCGGCACCCCAAGTCGTGGATAGCGAGGAAAATGGCGAATAAAGGTTAAATCATACTGGTTCTGTACACATATAAGTGATAAGAGAGGAAAAACAACACGATAGCCCGAATTTGGAACGATAAAATGCAGTTATTAAAAAACAAATTAGTATACATAGGGTGTCCCAAAAGTACCCGGACTGGTTCTGTAACTTCAAAACTAAGATAGATACAGACATGATCTTGGTTTCGTTTTAAAGATCAACTCAATATATCGACGGTGAAAGTCGGCAATCACATAACTCGTTTGCGGTGTCTGAAAATCTCCGCCTATACGTCATTTTTTTAAGAGAGAACAAATTGTCATTATTTCTTGAAGTTTTTGCAGAATTTTCTTCGAATTGAGAAGAAAAATCATGACAGTTTTAAAGAATTGCCGTTGAGTAGTTTTCCATTTAAAAAATAAAGTATGACAAGAAGTCTGCGACGTCGCAAACCGAGTTATGTGATTGCCGACTTACACCGTCGATATATCGACCAAGATCAGCTTGATCGAATAAAAATTGACCCAGTTATGGCAATTTGAAATCAGTGAGGAAAGTTTACCCCTACGGTTTTTATGGAAGATTTCTCGCTTACCAGGATTCAAAAAGTTAATATTCGTATCCGCTTTCCTTCGAATCTTCCATAACTTCCTTTTGCTTTTCAAAGTACCGTCCATCAAACCGGATGCACTTTTCATGCGCTCTTGCCACTTATCCAACATTGTTTTCCCGAATTTTTCCTCTGGGATGGCGTTTAAAAAGTTCTGAACTGCATTCTGGATTTCGGTCTTTGATTCGAATCCTCGTCCACGAAGCTCCTTTTTAAGCGTAGGAAACATCCAAAAATCACATGAAGCCAAGTCAGGGCTATAAGGTGGATGAGAGATTGTTTCAACTCCATTTTTACTCATAAATTCACGTGTTAAGTTCGATGTGTGAGGCCACGCATTGTCTTGATGGAGTATTCACGAAGCTTTCAAGTCCGACCGTTTCCGGGAGATGTGCATTCTCAACTCCTTTAGCTTTTTGCAGTAATACGCACTGTCAACTGTTGTGTTTAGTGGTACAAAATGTTGATAAATGACACCTCAAAAATAAAAAAACACAATAAGCATCACTTTACAGACCGATTCTTCGATTTACGGCGATGAAGAATCTTCCATAAAAACCGTAGGGGTAAACTTTCCTCACTGATTTCAAATTGCCATAACTTGGTCAATTTTTATTCGATTGAGCTGATCTTAGTCTTCATCGATAGGTATTGAGTTGATCCATAAAATGAGACCAAGATCATGTCCATCTATCCTAGTTTTGAAGTTACAGAACTAGTCCGGGTACTTTTGGGACACCCTACGTACAAGGCTGAGAAAGAGGATAAACGCAACCAAGGCGTTTCAGGCGAATTACATTCTTGTTTAAATTTTTTTGAATTTTTAGCTTTTTTCCCCGTTGAGAATGGGCATGCAATTGGCTCGAAACGTCCTGGTTGTGTTAATTATTTCTTTTAGCCTTGTATACCAATTTGTTTTTTTTTTTATTTATTGTATTTTACACGTATTAGGATCTCATTGATTTGCAATGTAACTGTGAATTCACTACCGGATCAAGTGCTGCCTTCAATGCACTCGCTTGGCCTAGGTAGATAATCGCAAGCTATCTGTTGTGGCGCAAAGAACTGTAGCTCAATGAATTGTCATCACGAAGTATGAAAAAACTGCGATCAAAACTGATATTCCACGTTTTATGATGTCATGAAACTTTGTGAAACTTCATGAAATAATCAAGGAATTCCACAATAATTTAAAATTAATCCCCATCTTCCGGCCCAAAAATTGATCAAATATTATTTTTGAAACATTTTTTTCCCCTCTTCGTCCTTCCTAGTTTGAGACGTTGCTGACTTCCGTTCATATTTTATTGTTTTTGGTAAACCAGTTAATGTAATTTCTTGAAAACTTCCTCGGTTTTTTTCTCGACTAGGAGAATGTTCTGTACAAATTTCAAGTTGTAAAGTTGGTTTGTTTCTCTTCAAAAAAATCAAATAGAAACAGACATTTTGAAACTTTATAAAGGTGTGTGGTTTTGCACTTCGGCCATCGATATGCACTCTTGCTTTTCTTATGCCGATGGGAAATTTTTTCATTTCCATATTTCAGTGGGAGCTCCAGTATACAGCGGCAAATGTATTGTGCATCCTGCTAATCTACCGTGCTAAGCAAGGACGCCGTAAATCCATCAAGATTACCCCTCGTTTTTTGGAACTTAACACTTTATAAAATAAAAAATGTTTTACCAATGACCTCCAATTTTCAGGTTA